AGCGCAAGTGTCTTAGTCATTTTCGAAAATTTTACAATTTCATTGGTTAAAATTCTATACCGTGTTGCGTGTGCAGATAACCTGAACATGTATAATCAACCGAATAGAATCGTGACGTCAACAACAAACACAAGATCGTTACGAACCACCAGAATCGCCAATATGTATGAGAGACAAAATTCGTATCTCTCTTCGACGTCATTCGTCGATTTCACCAGAATACGGCCTCTGATTACATTTTTGTTTGGTTTAGTTTTGTTTTCTTGATTACTGTTTTCTTTTAGTGAATCTACTTTGTTCTGCGATGCCTTCCCGATACTGAATATCATATTAAAACGACGTATATTTATTTATTTAAAAACAATAAATATCAATTTATTTTTATGTAGACATAGCAGTAGGAGTTTCTCTACATTCTCAGACTACAAACGATCAAGAATATGTGTCCACAATACACAGGTATGGAAAATTCCCTTCCAGATATATTTCTTTATTTTCCAAATGATATTTACGAATGCAATATTGATATTAAATAATATAAAGTTAGTTTATATTTGATGAAATTTTTAAAATGTTCGTGTCAACTTCAGTAGAAACAATACGAAACATTTCAAATTTTGATTGTTTATCAATTAACCGAATATTATAAGTTTGTACTTTATAAATAAAGTGTTTTTTTTATACGTGCTGATCATAATAAAGAGTTGTTAGAACAATGCGTAGAAAAAAGTGTGGAGTTTCTAAACGAATACAATCTGTTCATTATATATGAAATATTTTCAAATTAATTTAATTGTCAGTTATAACGTTTTAAACTTCATGTATTTCGTACACTTGAGAGAAAATCTGTAATGTAACATGCACGACAAATGTTTGACAGATCAACTTTTCGCAAAGCATACCGAGGTTATCATAAAATAACTAGTACAGTAGATCCCCCTGTAAAACTGTTTCCTATAGTTACGATTCCTATAAGACGGCGAAAAAATTGTGGCAGTATCCGTAAACAACGGTAAAAATAACTCCTATAATACGTAAAACGTCATGGGGCAGCCGAACTACTTTCCCGCTGTCCGTAGCGCCACGCTACGGACGTTTAGGCGGATAAATTGAGTTTAGTATCGTCTGTTTATATAATTATATATAAATTAGGTACTGTATATATAATTATATATTAACTTAATTTATTGTAACTTTATTATAATTAAATATATATTTTTCGCCGTCTAGCGTCACGCTACGGCGAGTTAGGCGACCTATCGTCTGTCCAGTACTGTAATTTTATACATTTCTTGTGAAAGAAACATTTCTTATTTAACGGCCATAAAAATTATTTATATTAAGGATGTCTCCAAAGGTCAACGAAGTTTTCGCAGAAAAATAATATCAGAAATCGCGGCCGCGGTTTGATGCGCTGTTCCGCGACGAAACCAAGCTTTAGCAACGGGCGTAGTCGAACGGTACACACTCGGTAAGCAATCCTACAATTTTTTGTTTATAACGTAGTTTATACGGATTATTTTCAAAAAAATATACGTATTTTGGAAATGTTGAGTCGAATTAGTCTAGAATCGATTAATTTTATGAAAGAAAACCTTTCAAACAGCCGTAGTCCGTAAACTATGATTCCTACAAAATTGATTCATAAAGAACGGAACGTATCTACCGTCTTATAGGGGGATCTACTGTATTTATACATCTGTGTTTTTCTTCTGTTGCCTCAGTACTATAGATAAAGTCTTTATGATAGCGAAAACGTAACGTTTAAACATCCAATAGCAATATAAAGATATACAGTCCAATAACTTATTTTTAATATTTTTCAAGAATTAATTAAGTACGATAAGAAATAATTGCAAACTTTCTCTTTTTGCATATTTGGAACACAAAAACAAAGAAAAAAAAACTTCTACACAAATTTATGATTTAAAGTAAATTTTACATGTTTTAAATTATTTCAATTTAACAAAATTCTATTATGTTTTTCACCCGAAATATAATTTGAAATTTTTTGTAGATTTAATAGTTGACAGCACGTTACTTCTTATCCAAGCTTTAAATTAGAATAAATTTTCTTTTCATGTAATAATAATTTATATTAAATTTTTGAATTCTGACATATTTTCCTGAATGGATAGCAAATCCAATGTACTGGCTTTCCCCAATATTCTTTATAAGTAAAATAGGAAAAAATTATAAGAGAGACGTCGAAATAATTCATCGTTTCGACGAAAATGTAAACTCAACTTGTGAATGGAGTTTTGTGTTTTAGTTTAAGTAATTAATAATTCAATTTAATGCGTAGGTGTTCAAGAGAAGAAAAGAAAATTTTGTGAAAAAAGTGCAGCAGCACCATTCATTAGACAAACAAACACGCAATGAAGAAAAACCAAAGATGAAAACAAAAGAACGTCTTATCGATTCCCTGTTGGATCTTCATGTCAAAGAAGGTTTAATATCGGAAGAAGACGTTATCAGAGAAATGGGCGGCGCAATTTTTGCGGTAGGCAGAATTTACTTAATTTATTAAAGGTGTAATCGAAAATAATTATAAAACAGTTAACTCGGCGATAAAAATTATAATTAACGTAAAACCTATTTCAAAAATAATCATAATTACTTTCTTGTAATTAGGAATTGTATTTAATTTAAGATGTTTTTGAAATCATTACATTTCATTCATAATTATTTGTTAAAGTAAATAATATTTGTAATTTCGGAATAATTTATAATTTTTTAACATTTAAAAATTTATAGTTTTGAATTTTGAATTTTGTACTTTTATATTTTAACTAGCTGCAAGGACCCGCTTCGCTGGGTTTTTATCTGTATGTAATATAGTTTTTTTATATATAAAAAACTGTTTTTCTAAGTAATCTATAATCTAGCTGCAAAATCCCACTTCGCTGGGCAAAAAGTAACGATAGTGAAAATTAAGATAATTACATTATAGCCAATTTTACCCTATTTCACAGAATGCAAGAATTAGGTCTCCCGTTTCCAGACTAATTAGAAAAATTTTACGTCCAGTCAAACGAGGTTTGACTGGATTTTTCAATTTTCTGGAACGTATACAATCGTTTTATAATCGAACCAATTCGAATTCGAATTCGAACAAATTTGAACAAATTCGAACATAACATTCGAAATAGAAAACCACTTTCAACCACTTTCATCACCATATCTCCCGAACCCTTATAGCTATCGAGACGCAACCACCATAGTGCACGAATGGAAACTTGGGGTTACCACCGCATACAAACAGCATTCATGTGCGATGTGTAGTTTCTGCAGAAACAAACAGCATTCATGTGCGATGTGTAGTTTCTGCAGAAAAGTGAAATATAGGGACACACACGTCCATATATATATATATATATAGATATGTGAAATGTAATAGCAAAAAATTTTAAATATAAAACAAAAAAGTTTATTAATTACTATATATTTTCTGTATTTATATATGTTACTGTGAAAGACCAAAATTAAAAAATGTCGATATTCTCCAGTGAATGTCGACACATGCAAACTACGTCGGTGAAAGACCGAATATTTCATAATATTATTATTTATTCGCACAATTGGCGGTGTATGTCGACAAGCACATATAAGATTTGGTGGAGCTCGAAACGACACCCGACAAGCCGATGTCACCAGAGAGGAGATCTGTCACCAAATTCTTCGCAATTTTCTTCTGCTCAAAGAATAGAAGTCTTTGATATCAACCGTGGCCGTACAGATGCCCGAAATGTGTTGGCGGTTGTAATTGGAATAGAAAACTTTGACTTTTATAAATTAGCAAACAAAAATGGTACCCTGAAGCAGCTGTATACCTGCAATCAGTTCCTAATTTGTAGAGAAAAGTTACTTTCCATAGATGAGATTTCTTCTTAAGAAATATCGCTAAGAGAATCAGCTGCAGCTAATTCGAAAAGTGGAAGACAAGGCTATACACGCTGTCATTACAAAAAAAAGTTTTTTGCGAATAAATGCAGTTGTAAATCAAGGGACTCTTGTGCAATTCAAAGTGCCATAACAGTTTAAGTTGTTGCAATAAATAAGATTTTATAACANTATATACTTAAATAATACTACTTTTGCTGTTTATTGTATTTTATTTATTTATCACATTGATAATTTCTTACATTAAAGTTTACGTAAATTAAACTGTTGTTAACGATCTCTTATACGTATTTATCTGTATTATTTAAAATGTTTCGAACATAGATGATTCAGTTGCGTTGGATACAAAATATTTGTATTTTATTTTAGTACTTTTTGATAAGCCATAAAATTAAAATAATGCGAATCCAAAATAATAAAAATATTTAAAATATTTGATTAATTAATATGTAACTCATATTAACAGAAATACTATGATTATATGGCAGACTATTCGATTAATCCTACTCGCCTTTCATATAAAATGTATACAACTGCCGAAGAAAAAGGTCCAAAGTTTAACACGATATTATATATTATAGAAGTAAAAATTGTATTCCGTAAATGAAATACAATTTTTAGTACAGAATTACAAGTACAAAACTTCAAATGTATAAATAGTTGTGATGTTCACTTTTACTACTAAGCACACCTGATTATATTTGCCGAGTTTTTTGTCTTTATTCCAAACATTTTTCGCCTATTTGGAATAAAAAGAAAAAAACTCGGCAAATATAATCAAGTGTGCTTAGTAGTATAAGTAAATAATATCGCTGAGAACAAAATAGATAGATTTGATGTTCTCTACTAGAATACTATAAGCCATAGTGAAAACAAAAATGAAAACACTAAAGTAAAAATCGAAGCAGGAAAATTTCTTTTGTATTAAAACTGTTTATATGGATTTACGGAATGAAATGTCTTGATTGTAATAAAAATATATAAACATCAATTCACAGCCCGAGTAGATAATAACAACACCAAACGATCGCCTATTATCTACTCGGGCTGTGAATTGATGTTTATATATATATATATACCTCGCCGGGTGTTACGTTAGCCGGCTGAGTACCGTTAGGGTCGTGGGCGAAGGAGTCGTCCCCAGTCGGT